CAGCAGACAGTTGTGACCATACTGTTGAAGTAGCAAAGAAGGGTGACAAAATATGAAATGATGCTCCTGTGCATGGATGAATTTAGGCAGGGGGTGGCTCTCTGCTCCACGAGCTGGTATTCTCTTGCCCATGTGCCTCTGATTCAGACAGACAGAGTTTCTTAAACAGCACCATACTTACACCTGCAAGGTCAGAAGAGTTTTGCTGAAGCACAGGAGCCAGCCTAGGATTAACATTTAGGTTAGCGGGAAATGGAGATTATTTGAATGATTGCCCTTGCCTGGTGAATTTTAGAAAAGGCAATTACAGGGATAAATTTGCTAACTCCATACAAAAATGGTATATAATGGACTTGTTATATTCCGCAGTGCTGTGTTGCTGCGACCCAGATTTGCCGTAGCATCACTTAAACCTAAGACAAGGTGAGACCTCAGCAGTAACAGCCTTAAAAGCTACGGATGAGAGGCTCTAGCAGCAAACTGCAGGCTAAAAATAAATCACTTTAAAACCCGTACGGCACAAGAGAGGCTCCTTCCTTTTCTGCTTTCTGCTCCTCCTGGCTTTTTTTTACCACATAATTTTTATGCTTGTACCCTCATGCTTTTTATGCTCACAGCTGGGAGTTGTCCCTCTTGTGCAAGAGTGGGGAGAAGCACGGGTGCTCCCAGAAACTGAGTGGTCAAGGAGAGCACCTGTAACTTTGTTGGATCCAAGTGTCAAACTTCACTGGGGGCTTCTTTCTGGATTTAACATTCTGAAGTGTTTCGTTCAGCTCTAAAATGTCTGGGTTTTCCTTGATGTGCTCCAAACCAAGGCTGGCTGAAAAGGGTTCTAGAAGAAATAAATCAGAAATTTAGAATTGCTTCTTTTCAGATGGATTTGAACAGCTGATTGATTTATTTTCCCCCCAGAAAGCAAGGGATTTATTTCCAATGACAGGATTCAAAATGCAACATCATTTCAAGTTGTGTATTTTTCTGTGAGGGATGAAGAGAGATCACAAGACCCATATTCATCCTGACCTCCAAATGTCAAGTATCTAGAACAAGCTGCTTCCAACAGAGGTACAAGGCAAGCAGTTCTTGTTAAAATAAATCAATAAAATACCACCACCCCCAAAATCTCAAGAAAAATGGTCAGGTATTAAGTGCCTTTCAGATGATTGGTATCCATTAATGGATGGCTTGCGGCATTGAGAGGAGATGGGAAGGTAATTAATTACTCAGTTAGGAACTATTTGTCCACTTTGGAAACTCAGGGCTTTTAATAACAAATTCCAGGAGGAGAAAATATTCACTTTGTACCTTAATTCATCATCAGCTTAAAACTTGTCTGAGGTTTATGAGCCTGATCCAAGTTTTGGACAGATCTGGGATGAGTTTCAAGGGAGCTGCAGGAGTTTCATGACATTGGCTGGGGCCGCAAAAGGCTCCTACAGAACCAGAGAGAAGGGGCTGGTCACTGTAATCCTGACCAAGTGCTACAGAGATGCCTCTTCTGTACAGACTCCTGTGGTTTTTAGTGATTTCAGACCAAAACAATGTAGAACCCATCAAATTCTGTCACGTGTCTCTAAGCCGTCAATCTGAAGAGTAGAAATCAAGGTGAAACAAAAACACACTGTGTTTTTCCCCCCCCAAAACAAAGTGATGGGTGGGTTTCAATAAATCGATATCCATCATATTTTATATATAGTTTTGTTAGAGGCTTCCTATATTGATGAGATTGTTTGTTTTTAACTCCTTTGCTGTGTGTGGAATGTACTGGTTGCTTTCAGGTGGAAGTGTTAAATGAATTTTATACATAATTCAGAGAGATGTTTGAGGTCACAGCCTCTTTCAGGAGGATGCTGTGGCATTATTTTACATCAGGCTCTGCCTGGTCCATCTGGCTCCTCGGACATGATTTCATGCATTTAAATCTCCCATTAGTTTGTGCTTTCAAGGAGAGAAGGGAGCAGTGTTGGCCTGGAGCTGTCCCGTAACCAGTATTAGCGGGATGCGGCAGTGGAGCGTGCAGTCGTGCCACAGGGATAAACAACTCCAGCACCATACAAGGAAAAGGCAAGTGGTGGTGGCCTTCACTGAGTGTTCATGCTCCACACACTCACTTTCATCCTGCTGCAGCACAGCACCACTGATGCTCCTTCCTGGTCCTCCCGGGAGGGTGTCTAACATGGCACATGGGTGGCAGGATTGGTATCCCGTCCACACGACTCTCTGCAGCTCCAATGGATAAAACAATACCCACTTTGGAAAAACAAAGCAAAAGAAGTGATTTTTTTTCCCTGATATTTTCATGTGGCTGTTGGAGCTGGAGCTAAAAAATATCAGTCATAAATTGACATCTTCAATTCAGGGATATTCCTTATGAAACCATGAAGGTAGGAATAAAAGTAAGGTGGCACAGTAGCTTTAGATTTACAGGCACTACATCTTGGCAAATCAGGCAGCTGTGGGGGAAGGGACTGTATTTGTGAAGTCTGAAACTGTCTGAATATTGGTGTTTCCTTTCCAGGTGCTTGTGAATAATGTGCTGCTCGTGACTGGAACCATAATGGAGAGAGGAGAGAGATTATCTCATGATGGTAAGTACTGGTTTAGGCACATGGGTTCACACCATGAGGCTTTTGCTGGGGCTGGCAGCAGCCTCACCACTGCCATGTGCTTCAGAGGCTGCAATGGGCATTCCTTGGCTCAGTGCTGTTTTCCCACTTATATTAAGCTCCGACAGGATGTGGCTGGTTCAAGGGCAGCAGAGGGCCCTTCTGCTGGTGTTTCCTAGTGCTGGCTGTGCATATGGGCATAGGGTCCTGCTGGTCACCCCTGTCGTGGTTACCAGTGCCCTGTTTGGTTCAGAAATGCAGCAAGAGCAGGGAGCTGCTAAGTGGCTTAGATGTTGGGGAAGTCTCCTTGGAAGGTGAGGGAAAAGGGATGTGAGCTCTAGGCTTAGTGTTAGGGCTGTAGGCCTTGAGAGTGAGTGGACACAAGAGCATCTATTTCATGTCAGGGCCAGGTTTGGCTTTGATTTGCCCCCTGCAGCCCTGAGGGTGTATTGTTGGCCTTAGAGAGGTTTCTGTGCCTCTACTGCTTCACCTGTATTGCATAGTTAAAAGGTGTAGGAAAGCGTCAGAAGTGCTGGTTGGCAAGGCTTTCATTCCAGGGACTAACAAAACTTTCTGAAGAATCATATTTCTTATGGATATTACTTATTACCTGAGGAATTGGTAGAGGGGAGTCCTGCCAAAGATATCCCCAAGTGTTTGAGCTGCTGCTCTGCGCTCCCTGCACCATCTCCCAAAGTATAAAAATATTTCACAGCTCTTCCCATGAGCTTTAACTCACTCCCATGATGGCATGTTACTTAGTTGCATATTGGTCCCTCTGTCTTATCAATAGGTTGTTTTGCACAACCTATTCCACATAGAGTGTGTAAATACATTGGCACAGGCTGAAGGAGCCTAATGATATCTTCTGAGGATCATGCTCCTTGGTAGTGATTGCCTTTGGATTCTGGGTCACTCAGATCACCTCATTTGCCAGGATTGGGATGGTTACTTCTGTGCTTAAAGCATAATCATGATTGATTTGTGCTTTGTGTCCCAAACTGACATTGGCTTGACTTTTTCCTTGAGTTTAAGCAAATTTGAAGCAAGGAGATGCCAAAAGCTGTAGCAGACTAGAGAATGGGTTGATAGAGGGATGCTTCAAAGGTGGCCTTTCCCAGGGTTTTCATCCATTATTATTCAAGCACCAGAGTGAGGATTTCTGAATGTGCTTCATTGTGAAGTGGTGTGGAAAAAACTGAGCACCAGAGAGCAAGTCCTGTGTCGGGGTAAAGCCAATGCCATTGACATGCTGGTGTGGGCTCATCAGTGCCACCTCTCGGGTGGAAAGAGGCTTTCAAGAGAGTTCGTGTTCATCATCATCGGCTTCTGCTTTTCGTGAATGGCGAAGTGGGGAACTGTGGACCAGACCTCAATTTCGTCCGAGGCTGCATCTGTCTGGATGCCGGGCGTTGTCACTTGTAGCTCCCCTTTGAAAGGTCGGATTCCTCTTGGCTTGTGGAAATCAAGCCCGATTCTGAACTAGCTCGAGGGAAAAGCATAGGGCCCAGGAACGATTCGAGAGGAGAGGCTGCCCCAGGTGAGTTTGTGTTCCCAGGGGAGCGAGAGCTCAGTGAGTACCCTAAACCTGGCGCATCGGGATGCCGGCAGCTTCGGCAAAGCCCAACCCACTGCTCCGTGGCGTGCTCTCTCGCAGAACCAGGAGCATGAAATTATGAAGGGGAATTTCAGAACAATGAAGGGAAATCCTTTGCCTTCCGTACAGCCTGGCCTGGGAAATTCACCAACTTCTTGCAGCCTCAAATGCTACCGAGACATTTAAAAGGGAGCGGGTCAGCTTCATAAACAAGAACGGGGTTGAAGTTATTTGGCAAGGACTTGATTTCGATGGGAATTAAGTTTGGGGCTATCTAGCGCGGGAGCGGGGGGGTGGCCGTGCCCGAGCCGGAGGGTGACCGGCCGTGTCCCGCCGGTGCCGCTGCGCGGGTGCGGGACCTGCGCGCTGCCCGCACCTACGCGCGGTACCGGTGTCGCTGCGGCACCTCCTCGGGGGCTGGGGGCGGTGGGCAGGGGGGTCCTGCTCTCCCGGCGCGGCTGGGGGATGCAGCAGGAGAAACAAAGTAAAAGTAAAAAGAAGCATAATTTTAAATATTATTATTGTTGTTATTGTTATTATTTTCGTTACTGATGCTGCAGGCAGCCGGGCGAGGGAACGGGCGGCCCGACGGCTGCGCGGGGCGGGAGGGGGCGGCCGCTGGGGGCCGGGCCGGGCCGGGGTGGGGGGGGCCGTGGGGAGCCGGGCCATGCCGAGCCGAGCCGAGCCGCGGCTGGGTGATGTCAGGCTCGAGGAGGAGCCTCCGCCGCCTGCCCTTTTACTTTCGGGCGCCGGCACTTGGCCGCAGGCTGCTGCCGCTGCCGGCCGGGCCCCCCCCTCGCCCCCTCCGCCATGGGCACCTCGCACTTCTAAGGCGCCGCCCCGGGGGGGGGCAGCGGGAATTCATTAAAAATCGCTATTTACGTGGTTATTCATTGCCCCGCTCCGGGTATGTGAACAACCACCCCCCTGCCCCCCCCGCCTCCCCTTCCATCCACCCCCAGCGCCATGCCGGCAGCCTGCACCCTGCTGCTGCTGCTGGGCTTGGGGCTGGTCCCGGTCCCACCAGCCGGGTCGCTGCCCCTCGCTTCCCCACGGCGTCTTCCTCCTCCTCCTCCTCCTCCTCCGTCCCGAAACCGTCTCGGCCGCCCTTGCTCGCCTCCCGCCGCGGGACAAGCCGACAGCCCGGGTGAGTGCCCCGCGATGGGGATGGGGATAGGGACGGGATTTCATCCCGGCAGCAGTCGCGGTGCGGCGGAGAGTGCGTGGGGTCCCACACCGTGCGGGTCTCTCTTGGCGTGGGACTCCGTGCACCCTCTGCCGCACCGCGACTGCTGAGCATCCCGGCATCACCCAGAGCTGATTCAGCTGCGAAATGTAACACCAGCACCACCCCACCACCCCCCATATTCCTTTCCCTTTGTAATCTTGCCCAGCTCATCGTGCTACAGTCAACTCCTTCAGTGGGTGAAGGTTTGGGATGGGAGTTGTGAGTGGGAAAGTGTAAACACGCTGTAGCTGCGCGGACTGACTAGGAAGGTGAGTGGTGGAAACTTCACAGAGGAACTTGAGAAAGGTTTTTGGGTATACCAGGATACTGGCAGCACTCTCGACCCACCAAAATGCTGCCCGGGTGGGAAATTGGTGGCTCTTGTAGGTGGCCTTCAGGGTCTGGCTTGCCTTCTGCTTGTCTCCAGACATGCCCTCATCTCAGGTGCTGACCCACATCCAGGTGTGGGGACAGATGCTCTCAGGTCTCTATAAATACCCTCTCTTTCTATGTCTCCTAGAGACTGTCAGATTAGTCATGTATAAGGTCACATTTTTCTTTGCATGCTACATCTACAGTGTAGTTATCAGGAACAAGGATTAGTTTCATGCTTTGCAAATTGTGCTGAATTTGGTTTCAGTACAGGACAAACCATATTTTTCCCAGAACAAGCTGGGTTTATTTCAAGTGTCACTGAGTAAACTGGCTCACTGAAAAGAGCACATAGCTCTAAGGGTGACTAATTCTCAATGAGTTTGGAAAGTGCTGGGTATCTGCAGGTATGACATATTGTCATAATTTGACATATTATACCACCTGCAGACAATATGTCAAATTAGTCCTACACAGGTTTTAAGTAGGTTTTAGGATTGATCACATGCCTGGGCTGGACTGTCAAATTTCATCTTTTAATTATCATGTTTTGGTACTTGGGATTAAGTTTAGTTGCATGGGGCTGTACAATTTCAGGAAATGTGACAAATCAACATTTATAACATTTTAGTTTTCTTCACAAACCCAAGACAAAATGTACAGTTGAGGATATCAGCTGGAACGTACCCTGCAGTGGATGAGAAAGCTCTTAACTAGCAGTGTTTGTGTGAGAGCATCTTGGTGACTAGGATATTGCCTCAAAATGAAGGAGATTTGGGTCTGTTCCCAGCACAGCCACTTCTTTGTGCTACTCCAACTATCGGTTTGCCCTCCAAACTGGGAGAGAATAATGCTATCTTACCTGCTACCAATCTTGTGAAAATAAATTCTGCAACTTGCCAGCAAAGTGCTCACCAATTATTCGATGAGAGCTGCACAAATTCCTCAGTGGACAGAAAAAAATATTTAATTTCATCTCAGCTTTCGATCTGGCATCTTTTCCTGTGACCTTGATGACTCCTGAGAGTCAGCGGAGGAATGCATTTCCTTTGTTAAGAGTCTGAAAAGCTCAACTATCTGTCCACATGCTGGAAAATCCATTTGTCAGGCTACCAGTGTCTGGCTGCCTGGCTCAGTGGTGGAGGCTTTGCTCTGTGCAGCTAGTGCTCAGCAGCTACAGGTGCTCGTGAATTATGTCAACCCCATCCAGAAGGAACGGGGGATGCATCATGAAGGAGTGATAAATAGCCCAGTAGTAGCTCTCTCCCCAGCAAACAGCATCATGAATTACGCTGGGTCCTGACAGCTGCGATTCACTTGCTGTTAGCTCCAGCTCTATGCCTGTCAGTCAAGGGAATTGTTTGGTGTTATGGGGGCAGGCTGGGGAAATCTCCTGAATCACTCTCAGGTTGAGTTCCAGGTGCTTAAGAAATCCTTATTTGTCTCACCACTGCTCCTGCCCCTCGGAGACATTTTCCACCTTTGAAAACACTTGCTTGGAGTGGGGGGAGCATTTCTTGTGAACCCATCACCCCAGCGCTACATGGAAATGAAGATTACATCTCCCTTTGAGACAGTCTGAGACTGGGAGGCAAAAGCCCTTTCTCAGGCAGGGCTTAGCGAGCAGATGGTGAGGCAGTGGGTGTAGAAATGGGGCTTTTGAGTCTCTCACAAAGCGTGAGGCAAGGGAGCAGGGCTGCCCTCAGAGCCTCACTGCCTTCCTGGCCAGCCTGTGCCTCAGTCTGCATCTGCCGCCCTCCCTGTTGGGCGGAGAGATGAGGACAGATGGCTTTTGCCTGTGTTTAAAATACAGTCTGAACCCAGGGAAAGGAACACAGGAAAAAGAAATAGACGAAGTAGGAAGCAAGAAACTTGGTGGTAGTAAAGTTAAAATATTGTCAAAGCCCTGCATGAAATCCCTCCTGGCAACTACTTCACATGGGTGGCAGTCGAACGAAAGGGCACTGTCTGCTGCTAGCCTTGGGCAGGTGAGAGCTTGGTTACAATCTCTGTCCTCCTGCAGATTTCTGTATTCCAGGTTTCCCATCTGTGAAATGGTAATAATCCCAGCAACACCACAAGGGCACCAGAGGTGGGACTGAGCCCTGAAAAAGTCCCTATGGCTGAGGTCACCCCCTTTTTCTTCAGTGTCCCTTTTCCTGTTACTTCTGACCCACACGGGTGCCCTGCCACTGTGTCCAGCACAGCATGTGGCTGCTGGCAATGGGCTTGCCCTGAGAAGCTGATCTGCTTTTCTGCCATCTGTGTCTGTCCTTCTGTCCATTCTCCCTCTCTCCCATGCCAACTGTCACTTTTCTTTGCAGCTCCCCTGGTGACAGCCCCGGAAATAAGGTGTGAAATCACCTGAGAATGAACCATCTTTGCTTGCAGCAGAGATTTAGGCTGGCTGCTGGAAGAAACTTTCCAGCCCTCCTAGAGGGGATGAACAATCTGTATTTATTTATGTATTCTTTAACTTTCTTCTGAAACTTTCTGCGTGAGGAAGAAGCAAATTTAGGCATGAGGGACGAAGATGCTGAGGATGCTTGTTTGCAAAAAAGTATGTTGCCTCCAAACCTTCCTCACATTTTGCAGTATGTATTTTGTGGCTCCTGGGGGGCAGAAGCCTGGCTCTGCCTGTGGTCACACTGATGCAGAGGAGTATAAGACACTGCTGTCTAGCTTTAATGCAATCTCAGGTGACTGTGGTGCAGGAATGATGCTTCCTACCCCTGCGGTGCAGGGACAAGGAGGGATCACCCCCCACGCCTCCGCATCACTATCAAAAGGCTGCAGGGTTTTCCTGCCTTGGGCATCTTCACTGCTCCTCTGTGAGCTGTAAGTGTATTTGGTTGGTGTGCTGTGAACACGAAGTCCCTGGGGTTGTATGGATTTAGCTCTGCTCCTTTGGGGTACATAATTAAAAGCAAAAAAGAAATGAGAAGAAAAAAAGGTATTTCAGAAAAGGAGGGAGATTAGAGATCATCTTTTCTGCCCGTTTCCCATCCCAAGCCCCAGAAGGTAGCAAGGGCTGTGCACTGACCAGCTGGGTTCACATCAATCTGTGGAACCACTTTGTGCAATATTTAAGTGCTAAATGAATATGGTCTGAGAGATAATTGTGTAACCTGGCTGTCAGGGAGCACACAGTGATGCGTATTGATTTACACCTCACTGCGCAGTGAACGTGCGTGCTAAGCTGTGAGCAGGGCACAGTGGGTAAGGGGAGAGCTGCTGTAGCTAAAGAGGTATTGGGCTCTCCATGAAGTTTAATTTCCCAGTACCAAACCACCAGCACCAGCCTGTGCCTGTTCAGCAGGTGTTTGCAGTGTGTACTGCTCCAGAAGCTGTCATCTCTTTGAAGGGATAATTTAACTTGCTTTAAGTTTTCCTTATGGCCAGGAGGACGAGGGATATGGGCGGTTTCTGCTGTGTCTGCAGGGGCTGATGCCAGCTTTGCTGGTGCAGGGGTGCCTTCCTCAGCAAATATTCTTTTCAGTATGAAAAGCTGCAGATACTGAGGAGTTTAGGGGAGCATGGGGTTTCTGGGACAACTTGTTTCCTTTACCTGCTCTTACAGATACCAGTTTTTGGGCTGGCAGTCAGAGACTCTCTGTGATTGAACTCCCAAGCTGTTCTACGTGCTCCATCCTCCTTTCTCCCTATCCTGCTCATGTGCAGGGGACATGTCGCAGCTGGTGAGGCTGATGGCTCGGTCACCATCTCATCTCTCAGAGGTGGCAGAGGATTATGCTCATTTAGCAGAAGGCCTTAGGTTAGAAAGGCTGTTGGTCTTGGTTGTTGTAGTGCAAAACAAACGGATGCTGCTGAGACTGGGACTGTGCCTGTGCAACCAAAACATAAAACATAAAACATAAAACTTGGTAGCATCAGCCTAGTTGTGATGGTTTTAGTGAAGCATTCATCCAAGCTAATAAAACAACCCCAACAGAAAAAAGAACTATGTCAATTAACATGCTAATCAAGGCAGTAAAATCTCTCAAAATGGTGACAGTTTCAGTGCTGCGGTGTAGAGATTAAGACACCACCAACGTCTGTGTTTCCCAGAGACTCTTCTGGAGTCTCTGCTGGAAAGACCTACTGGCTGGTGCTGTGTGTTCCCCATTGATGTACCATTTCCAAAACAAGTATAGGTATGGAGTGGCAGGGCTCAGCTGTGGCTCAGCCTGCTGCCTTTTTGCAGCACAGAAATGCTGCCTTTCTGCCTGTCTGAGCCTTGCCCAGCCCAGCTGCCCCTGACATGCATGGGGTTCTCCAGGCAGGGCTGCAACCTGTGAAATACCTCCAGAGAAAATAGAGCTGGATGGATCATAGATAGCCAGTGTAAACACTCTGGATTCTGGATTTCCTTTCCCAAGTAGTTTCAAGAGAGTTTCTGTGGTGTGGGAGGTGAGGAGGGTCTGAGGGTGTCAGGTTGTCTCTGGGCAGACAAACAGCACTGCTTAAATCTGAGCTGATCCACTCAGATACGCACAGAGCTCTTCTGGAAGGAGTCATGGCCAGATCCTGGCACCCGTTCTGGTATC